TTTATTCCGCATTTACCACCTCATCAAGCGATCGTTTCTTTCAACCAAGATGTCGAATCCTCCAACCTGCTCGTTCAGAATATATACAGAAATTTATTCGAATCGCAACAAACGAAAGAGGAATCTCCCTTCTCTTGGAATCGGATGGATCGAGCTTTGAGACGGCCCATTCAAACAGACCGGCGATATACAGATCCGCGCACGAGTTTTCGGTGGAAGAATATTTTTCTCACGAAACGATATTTTACGTTTGGAGTGAGAACGACGGCTGAGGACGAAGTTCATATTGTTCAAACCACAGCCGCTCCTCTCGCCTATTACGAATCATCGTCCCCCAATCTGAAGGAAAGAAGTTTTAAAGTCAGCGACAGGATGAAATATAAGAAATATATTCTAATTCTAAGACCTTTTCAAAACTATGTCGTTCCCCCGAAAACGCAATATCTCATCGTCACAACCCAGAAGAGTCTCTTTCTCGTCGATCGGTGCTCGTACTCGCTTTGGAAACAATTGAAAGAGGAGATTTCTTTCCAATCGCCGATGATGTTTCAAGAAAAAGAAGAAGAAAACCCTCCGCCACCTTTACCCATCCCTTCCTTAGATGATAAGAGGAGCTGGACCAAACCGTCATGGCCCGAAACAAAATCGACCCGGCAACGGAATGAAATTGAAGTCATCACAATTGAAGATGAGGAGGAAGAAAAAAAATTACCTCTTAAAAAACGGTCGACTTACCGGAACCTACCTGGCGTGCAAGATCCGCTTCAGAATCCAGAAGCTTCTTCTTCTTCTTCTTCTTCCCCGACTTGTTCAAACAGGCAACCTCTTTCGGACTCCTCACAGACAGAACCTCTTCCAGTATCCTCTTCTTCTTCTTCTCCAACCTGTCCCGACATCGTAGAGGTAGAATGTCAGACGGGTCCACAAGCTTCAAAAAGTCCCGACATCGTAGAGGTAGAATGTCAGCCGGGTCCACAAGTTCCAACAGGTCCAGAAATCATGGAGGCAGAATCACAGCCGGGTTCACAAGTTCCAACGGGTCCAGAAATCATGGAGGTAGAATTTCAGCCGGGTAAACAAGTTCCAACGGGTCCAGAAATCATGGAGGTAGAATCGCAGCCGGGTCCAGACATCCTAGATCCCTCCACTCATCCCAAAGAGACTCCAAGTGTTTCAAGACAGCCTTGTGAGGATCCAGCCCTTCCCGTATGGAATGATTATATGGACTTACAAAATTTGGTGCAACAGGAAGGAGAAGAAAATAATCATACGGATGGGTGGGTCAAAGACTGTTTAGATCATTTAACCTCGAATGAAATTGAACTGTTATGGAATTGCATTTCTGAAATCACATCGGAAATGGGATAAAAACCAAAACAAAAAAAAACAATTTTTTAATAACAAATGGGAGGAGGGTCATGATGTCAATTAAAAAAAAATATTATATAGAGTCCAATCTTGGTGGTTCACTTCAGTTTTCCAGCATGAGGTGATCCACGTTTCCCGAAATATGGATCCCATTCCAAGAGAGATTGTGTAGAGCCTTCACTTCAGTTCTTTTTTTTTTCCTACCAAGAGGAGAGGGTCCCCAAAGGGTTACCCATGTCCAAAGAGAGAAAGTGTAGAGCATTCATTTCAGTTTTTTTTTTCAAGTTTAGGGGAGGGAGGTCTCAAAATGACACCCCCCCATTTTCAAAGAGAGATGGTGTAGAGCGTTCATTTCTGTTTTTTTCCAAAGTTAGGGAGTTTTCAAATGGCTACCCATTTCAGAGAAAGAGAGAGAGAGAGAGAGAGAAGGGTAGAGCGTTCATTTCAGTTTTCCAACATTAGAAGGTCCCAAAAATACCTTCTGAATTCAAAGAGAGATCGTGTAGAGCGTTCATTTCCAGTTCTCCAAGATCAGAAGAAGAGGGTCCGCTTTTCCCAAAAGGGCTTTCCGCATTCAGAGACAGCGAAATGCAGACTTCAGTTTTCTCCCTCCCCAAGAATAGAGGGTCCCAAAATGGCTTCCCATTTCAAAGAGAGAGGGAGAGGCGTTCATTTCCATTCTCCAAGATAGGGTCGTCTGCTTTTTCCCAAAATGGCTTCCCAATTCAAAAAGAGAGAGAGAGAGAGTAAAAGGGTGTGTAGAGCGGTCATGTTCATTCTCCAAGATAGGGTCGTCAGCTTTTTCTCAAAATGGCATCTCCCCATTCAAAAAGAGATCGTAACCAATTTTTTCCAGTTTTTTCCAAGATGGGGGAGAGAAGAAAACCTAGGATGGAATAACATGACACACAGAGAGAAAGAGAAAAAAAAACGCCATCTTGTCATTTTCTGATAGGGTACCGGTGTTCGAATACTTTTGTGACCGACTGTACAGTTGGTCTATGAAGGGATGAGGTCGGACTTGTATGTAAACAAGTGGCATAGGGTGTCTAGTGCGCGGTTTAGTCAACCGGGCGCACCTATGCACTTGGAAACCCCATGATTCCACTTCATTTTTGACGTCCTCGATTTCAGTTTCTTTAGGGAGGCCTCTGATAACAATTTTGATAGGCCTGTCCTGCTTTAGATCAAAAGTCTTGAATTGGATGCCGGCCTGCCGCATCCATCGTGAAACCTCCCTAAATTCTAGTTCTGTTTGAACAAATAATTTTAAAAAAGGTCCAGTGAGAATGCACTTGATATTAGGGGCAATTTTCTCGCAGGAAAGTCATCTGCGTTCTCCACTGTTTGCTGCTCTTAACGTGAATAGCCGGAATGGAGGGTTGCTGTGGAGGGGGGGGAGCGCTCTGTGACTGCGCCGTACTAGTTTCTTCTCCTGAAGTTTCCCCGTCCCCGTAACAGGGGGGGTGATTATCGAGCTTCCCTTGGCAGGGACTGCGACCGCTGTCCAAGAGGCTTTCTTTAATTCTTTCATATTGTTTTTTAGAAACAATATTTTTTGAATTTGCAATTACTTCAGTGGGGTTACTATCATCAATTGTAATTATTTCTGGAGGTTTTCCCTGGATGCGGGGGTAATAAAGCCCTCCGAATCTACGCTCGCAGTCTTTCTTTTTCTGCTGGAGGCAGTAATGGTATCTTGAGCCGAGGGAGTCGAAACTAGTCTATCTGCTTGCTTCTTTACGCTATGCGTGCGAGAAACAGGTTTCAAATTGTCCTTGAGTTTCTCCTTGCGGAGAAGAGCTTCTTTTTCGGCGGCTATTTTGGCAATTTTCTCGTTATCTAATAGTTGCTGAAATTCTTGTAAGGTGGCAGGGAGTTGGAATATCTGTACATGTCGCAATGTCGTTGATCTTATTAAAGAGTGTCTTACCCGCTAGGTCTAGTTGTTGGTATCCAGAAGTATCCAGGGGGGCTCCAGTTCGTTTTAGGAACATTTTCTGCTGTTGAATGGCTTCAAACTGAGTTTTGAGTCCGTAAAATTCAGTGATAAGATTAGATCGGTCGTCTTGGGTATTATCATCAGATGGATTGCTCTCTGTACATGATTGCACGTTTAGAGTATCCAAAGGTAAAGCATTTGTTTGCGAAGAATCACAAAATTCCATGGATGAAGGCTGTGTCGGCGGGAGCTCGCAAAGCGAGCGACCGTCCTCGTCCGCGTCCATACTCGGAATCAACTTGTTACATAAAATGTTTAGATATAAGAACGAATCTGCTGCACAAAAGTCCTTGGTTTAACCAATCAAATTTCACCTTTCGAGAATGACGAAAACGCTCAACTAGAGCTACTAGAGATAAGGCCCTTTATAGTAGCCTTAGCTCAACTTTTGAAATTGAACTATAATTTCTATCGTGGAAATGGAAGAATACATGGCCGAACTTTCATTCTAAGATGTGCAGAGGTGTAAAAAACAGATCTCTAAGTCTAATAACCCAATTCCTTTACTATCACTTTCTATTTTAATAATGCATACTTTGACAAACATCTTCGAAAGTAGCTGACTGATTTCCGCAATCAAAATTTCCTCTTCTAAAAAATTATACGATGAAGAGAAATCAGAGCAAGGAATATTTTTATATAGTACTATTTATATTTACATATAGTATATAAGTTATATGTTTTTAACTTATATATAAATAAATTGAATTGTAAATAAAAATTTTATTTCGATCAAAATTCTGGCTGACTTGGATTGAAATGGATTATTTAGCTATGGGCTGGCGAATAAATGAAATATTTTATGCATAGCTATCTTAGCTGGGAAAAGACATGCTCTTATAAAATTTCAGAGGAACATTGTAGAATAAAACTGCAGATTTTGAGGTTTTAGCTAAGGTTCTTATAAAGGTTTAGCTGAGGCTGCTAGCTGAGCTGGGTAGTTTAGCTGAGCTCTAGTTTTAGCCACTCAACTCTAGGCCTAAAGAACGAGTAAAAATGTCATATTATTCGAATTATATTACATATTCACATCGAATATATGATGTTGCTTTCCAGCAAACAATCGCATTCCAAATAAAGTTGTTAGAGGTTTTGCTCGAAATATCGAAGTTAAAATCTGTTGACATTTCTCTTATACATTAATGTCTAAAAATGTAATTATAATTTAACAGCAGCAACAGCTTAAGCATGTTGAGTCATTGTATTATCACTTCTGTAGTTTTCTATAAAATTTTCCAACTAATAATTAACAATATACTCTATGTTTTTAAAGTTCAGACTAAATAATTGTTTAATTGAGTCACAGTATACACATGAACAGGTAATAAATTAAAAAATAAAAGTGAAAAAAATTGCTTAATGAAATTAGTGAAACCTAATTTCATAAAATTTTGGTAGGGCAACCCACGGAGCAATCATGCTACCCTGGTGCAATCATATTTATTCGCATGGATAATATTATTTCAAACACATACAAATTACTTATATGAAGGATGAATTCTTTATTTTTTAGTTCTCATGATTATTTTTAGCAATTATGGATAAATATTAGTTACATTTTTCTTTCGTTAAGAATTTCTGATGCAATAGCAGTTACTTAAAATTGCGAGTGCACAGATTCAGCAAATAAGCTACTCAACGTAATTGTAGGCTAAGTGGACCAGAAATCTCATCGCAACTAAGGTCGCGATCGTCGAAAATCTATGAATGTTTGTTGCAATTCAGAAAAAGAAAGGCATGTATACTGTTGCAAACAGGCCATTTAAACTACTTGCAAATACTAGGAGAGGTAAAAATCATTATTTTTCAGTGCATAAATTGTGTATTTTCCTTTTGCAGTTATGTAATTCTGTGTATTTCTTGTAGGCATTACTCAAAAAGTAGATCCCCTTGAGAACAATAACAACAATCGGGATTCTGCAAAATATGGAACACACGTTAACATGAGGTAAAAAATAACAATTTTTCCCTAGATTAAAAGAGTTTCATAAATGGATGATTTAAATTCACGATAAGCTGAAAAGAAATTTTAGGAATGTAATATTGCAAGAGGTGCAGGTCACATTATTCATGCATAATTTGTTTAATTAAATACGACAAACCACTCAAGAACTATCCATGTTTTGATAATCTTGTCTACTGTCGTGTGAATGGGCAAAAGAAGAAGGAATGTGAAATTTGTATTGTGAATGAATGTTTAAAAAGTGTTTTGCTTATATGATGTCTTTCATGTTTAATCCATTTGTAATTCTTGACTAATTTTAATGCAGAAATACCTGTATAATTTCCAGAAACTTGTGGACTTAATTTGCAAACATCAACTGTGATTGCATCATTTAGTTGCATAACCTGTGCACATAATACTAAATTATCAAATGGTGCTGTATCCCGAGGTTAAAATTTCTCTCTTTTTCTTTTAGAAAAAAAATAAATTGTTTGTTACTTATTAGAGAAATTTCAAAGAGTATGAATGTTGTTCTGTAAGATATCTTTTCTTTATACTGTAGTGAACATATCTCTTCAAACATTTTCCATCTATAAGATAATAAAATTGAAATGTTCATTCACCTGTAGAAGATACTTTGCTTTCTTTGAATCAAATCTCTTTTTATGTAATTATGTGAGATTAACACTTTTATTTGTATAAATTTGCAGGTGCTTATTTGTAGGCAAGTATTTAAATATTCTTAATAAGTATTACTCTGCACTTTGTTTATAAATTGGACACGTATGCTCCATACAGATATTTTTTTAACATTAAATATTTCTTTATTCATTTTAGCAGTGATTTGATATTACTGTCATGGATGCTAAATTTATCTTCCAGTTTTAAGCGAAGCATTAATTGTTGACTTCTTTGGTTGTCATGCTGTTCTAAGAATTCAAGTACTGAAGTTTTCAGAAAAAATCTGCTGCTTTTGAATTGAATAGTTAGTTCTAAAATAATTTTAAAATTCATTGTTGTAACAATTATACACTGTTAAGCTACATCCAGAATTATGCAGTGATTAGTTTCATCTACTACAGTTTTTTTTTTTTTTTTTTTTGTACCACTTGAAATTTTGAAATGGTTCACTAGGTTATATAAATTACATGTAAAATTGGCAGAATTCTTTTGATGATGTATGGTTTGATAACTATATCCTAATCAATCTAGCCCCTTATCTGAGAGTCATACTTACTCATGATAACTCAGCCAGTATTTCCCACTTTTGGTTTATAGTAATATTGTAGCATCTCTGTGTTTGATGATGAAAAAGTAAGTTTTAAGTTTATCAGTTCGACATGTTACACCATCTAAGAACTAAATATATAATTAACTGAAAGAAGTAGATTACATAACTCTCCTACCTACTTGTGGTAGAATTCCAGAAATGTTTTTGCAGTTTACTTTAACTATGTTCCATTTCAAAGGTCATTCTCGCATCAAAATGAAGGCATGAATTCTAATTTGAAAGGGAATTTGTATTGATCACATTCTCCTAATTATGCTGTTTGGCATAAGTGGTTAGCACATCCAGGCAGCAATTGGAATTAACAGATTTTTGCTTTCTAATTTAAATTTTTCTAGTATTACAATTGCCTAAGTTTTTGTCTTAGTGTATTGTAAACTTATTACATTTAATTTTTCGATTTTAAGATTTTGTTTGCTCCAGTTTTTATTTTTTATACACTCAAATGAAGTAGATGGCAATAACTTTAGGTTATAGGAGTGCCATAAAATTTGAGCTAAGTACTTGAATAATACATATTAAAAAAGCCGGTGATTACATTTTATTGTATTGTTTTTAATATTTATTTATTATGTGTATGAATTGCTATCACTAGTTTAATGCTTTTTTCCTCCCTCTTCTTTTCTCCTAGCTTACCTAGACCTGTGTTTCATCAGGTGAATGGTAGAAAAACACAAGTTCAAAAAGTTCGCCAAGAAAACTTTCCTCCACAGTATGAAGAGTTAATTAAATATATTCAAGATAGTAAGTATGCAGATATTTAAAAATTGAAGTAAATTTATGAATGATGTATGTAAAAAGTTTTTTTTTTTTTTTTATATATTTATTTATTTATTTATTTATTTTTTTTTTTATTTAGTTAAACCAATAAGTAGGTGTTTGAGAAATATAGTAAATAAATCAATATATGTCTCAATCTCATTTAAAAACCACAAGTGTTAAGTATGTTTTCTGTAAGTGAAACAATAACTGAAGATTAGTGATAAAAGTATACTAAAATTTAGAGTGAATGAAAAGCAAATCACTGTTTGTTTGGTTATCTCCCCCCCTCCCCTCCAAAAAAGAAAGCACAGAAAACTGATGCCCATTGCACTTTTGTTTGTTTGGCAACTGTAGATGTTGTTCCAGATTCTTATATAAAGATAAGATTTTTGTTTAATTTCTTGCAAAATATTTTTTTCTCCCTTTTTTTCTGTAAGAAAGGAGAGAAAATGTCTCAACAATGAGATTGGCATCCACACATAAATTGTGGAATGCAATATGGAGATCAGCAAAATGAAAGAATAAGCAAAGGAAAGGGGACTATTCGCGGTTGGGACATTTTGCCATCAGTACATATTTTTCTTACTGTATTATATCTTGCTGTATGATATTAACTTGATTTAGTTAAATGATTTTATTTACCTATTGTATATTTCTTTATTTGCATATGTTATATCTTGCCATATTATACTGTCAGTTTTACCCATAGCTGTCTTAAATTTTAAAAGAAAAAAAAAAAAAAAAAAAAAGAAAACCTTTTGCATGCACATCTTCTAGAATTACTAAAATATTACCTAGAATTAATAGGTTCCCCCTTTTTTTTATTAATAATTTATTTGGAAGGCTTTTCTCAATGCGATAATTAGGTGTATTTTATGCATATTATAGTATTACAATAAAAACATTGTGAATCTGTATAATATAATTTCTGTAAAACTATTTCTGTAACTATTTTGGAATTGAATATTTGGCTAATTTTTAAATTCAAAGTTGAAAAGCTTCTTAAACTTAGAAGGTATATATTTTAAAGCATAAATAATACTTCATATAATATATTCATTCATATAATAATTTATTGCTATTAAATGAGCAGATTGCCGTCATATATTTTATACCACATAATTAATTTTCACAAAAAGTTATTTCTCCTTAATGAAAATAAAATTTATGTTGGAGATTACCAATGCGGACAATCTGTAATTTCATCACGGTCATGAAATTAAGTATATTGAGAGTCTTTGAAAACTGAAGAAAATCTTGAGCTGACATGGGTCATATTTTCCTGTCAGGAACATTTTGTTGTATTAAAAATTACATTTTGCAAATTTTATTTTCCCCATCAATCAGATGATGGGTGTAAGTGTTTCTCTTGATATTTTGTTATTGTTAATTTCTAATGTATGTTTGTAGTTCAGAAAGGAATTTTTATGCATCAGTGTTTGATAAATCATATATTATTATGCATTACATATTAGTTGGCAGAACTTTTCGTTAACTCTTTAGTTTTTCGGTTAAAAATATATTTACGGGTGCCCCTTGGCGATTTTTGGCGGTATATGGATATCGAGTTTCTGCAGTTCTTCGACTTGTTATTTTGGCTTTGTGTAGCAGTGATTTTTTGCTTCAAAAATAGCCGCTACACAAAGATAAAGAAAAAAAAAAAAAAAAAAAAAAACACACAAAAAAAAAAAAAAAAAAAAAAAAAAACACAAGAATTCCACAAACTAGGTATCCATGTACACATCGACATATTTTCACTTGAAAAAACATCAGAGAATTGCACAAACTTGGCATTGCGCACTCCCTTGACTTTGTCCATGTACACATCGATCTATTTTCACTTAAATCAAAGGAGCACCCAATTCCACAGTAGAGCCAAACAAAAAATACATAATCTCAATACACTACATTTTAAATCAAACAATAAAATAACATAAAAAGGAAATTCATCTAATGCATCTAAGCACTGCGCAAAGCAAATATCCACTTACCTTATTTAGAAATTTCGAAGTCCTTCAATTTGTGGCTCACAAAATTCCTTAACAGCATCCCAAAACTTCCTAAAATTATCTGAACATATATCGGCATATATCGACGTCGCTGCATAAATTCACAAAAATAAGAATAAAAAATATCCTTCATAGGTCCGATATCCTCCAACGTTCAACCATACGCATTTCCTTCCTACTAACAGGAGACTTATAATCGCTACTAAGTAAACCTTCATTTGCACACCAGTCAATTAATGCACTTTCTGCTTTCATTCCAAATTGTATGGAAATTCAAATTAATCTTACAACATTCAGCCATTTTACCATCTAAAGCACAAAACAAGCAATGTGCTTCCTAACCTACACACACCACAAACCCTTACAAGTCTTTTTCCCGTCATTCAAAACTTACGGCAACATGCAATCGACTGTATCACAGTAGGGTTTCCGTAACATTCAACTACTTGGGTTACCATAAATAAAGCAACAACTTCACGATAATACAAGGGGCACCCTTCAATATAACCAGTTTTTTTTTCACAATTTCAGACATCTGTCTGTTTGAAAATGTTTAAATAATAATTAATTTCTGTGAATTATTCATTATAAGTCAAGTAAGAATGAAGTATTTATGCATTCCTATAGATTAGTTAGTTATACGTGATTTCTTTTCTCTTGCTGAAACTTTTAATGATTACAGGATCAGAACATGAAAAAATTTTCAAAATATATTTTGTAAAAAAATTTTTTCCAAGTACATAATGCAAAATAAATATAAATTGTATCTTTATTTTATAATATATTTTTCAGTGTGGGAGAAATAATATTTAGTGTGATCTTATAAAACTTTGCTTGTATTATGGTATAACTCAGAGAATTTCGGTTGTATATTGTAAATAATTAATGCAGTGTAATACAGGGTTCGTAGCGGTCCTTATAAGTGCTTATAAGTCCTTATATTTGAAAATAAAATATAAAGGCCCTTATAGGTGCTTACATTTTCTTTAAAGCCCTTATTTTTTTTGTTTTTAGTGCTTATTTTTTGCTTTTAGTGCTTTTTTTTTTTTTTTTTTTAATGAACGCGCTATTTTTTCCCGTACCAAAGCCGAAACTAAATAAACAGCTTTTCTTCCTAATATGGAATGTCAGATGGTGAATCATACTCCCGGAAATAGCTTTTCCCTCTATCTCTGCATTAATATAACCTTTGGTGTGCACGAAGAGTACAGACAGGTGCCCGTCGTTCTATTGGGCAAAGAATTGCGAATGCAGTAAAAAATTCCGGTACATTAGGCATTCTTTTCCTCCCACCCAAATACTACACACGTTTGAATTTCTATCAAGATCTTAATAATTTGCATTCTCGTTACGCTTGGTCAGTTCATATTCGTGTTTATTATGATCATTATGCTTATATTATGAGCATATGTATGAATGTTTATAACATAGTTGCAGTAACTGCTGAAGTATAGTAAACTTCCAAAAATGGTTGTGTTTTAACACAGATTAGCTTTCTAAGGAATAATATTCGGAATGGCTTAAATAAAGGGAAAGTCATCGAATAGTCAAAATAATTTCATTTTTATGGCCAATACATTATACAGTACGAAGATTGGGAGATTCTCCCCTTTCTCCACAAAATCTCGAATAGTGAAACTGTTACAGTTCGCTGCAAAACAAGCAATGGACCTTTTTTTTTTCGTCACTTTCCAATTTGGATTGAATAGGACTAAACGTTCTGAAGTCTACCAACCCAAGCGAAGAATGATTCTATTCCGGAAATTTAACGCCGTCTGTTGAAAATTAGAATGAAAAACACTCCAGTTCTTTATTCTCCCAATACCTGCAGCTGTTGATTCTGATTGCGTAATATCACGTAGGGAAGAATTACGGCGCACGTATTGCGCAATAACGTTTGCTGCGATATCTTGCAGAGATAATTAATTTTGATGTTCTGTCCGAGATTTGTTTTATGAACACTTCAAAGAGTTTTACTGTGCTTGCTAAGCAGAATATTTTTCAGTTTCATTGGCTTATTTTTATATGATGCACATATCAAAATGTCAAAAGCATTTATTTAGCGGAGAAATCTAAAGAGCGGCTACAGTCTACCCCCCTTCGCTCCTATTTTTTCAAGTTTACGCTCGACTGTCCGAATATTCGCCAATTTCCAAGTATGGCGGCTTAGTTAAGCTTTTACTGTTAAAGGATGACTGCATGAAGCAAATTTCTGTCTTCTGATTTCAGAAATGTTCCTCTTTTTTACTTAAATTCTGTGCTTGCAATATCTGTTAAGGGAAAACTGATATACAATGAAAATTTAGAAAATGTTCAGAATTTAGATTTAAATTATTTAAATATCAATATGAGTGGAAAAATGAATTGTATTTATTATTTGGTTCCAAGCGAATACAATAAATATTCCTTATTATTATTTATTTTCTCTACTTTGAACTGAAATTTCATCATTAAATCTTGTAATATAGTTTAGTTCTGCATAGTTTTTTTCCTCTCGTTGTAAACTAGTTCTGTAAATTAGACTGTTATTTAAAATTTAAAAAAAAAAAGTAATTATTTTCCATGGTTGAGGTAATGCTTATTCTCTCTTAATAAACTCCATTTCTCATTATTTTAAATTACAAGTCTAATTTTTAAGGTTATGCAGTTGTGTATAATGTAATTAGACAAGTGCTTTTTTTTTTCTTAAAATGTGCTTGAAAAGTGCTTATAGGTGCTTATTTTTTTAACTAAAATGTGGCTATGAACCCTGGTAATAGTAGGAATTGCTGCATAATGGTATCTCATCGTACAGATGTCTGTTCCTTAAGGTCACTGTTCATCAAAGTAAAGGTGCTCTGCCATAGATGTGTCTGTACTTTTAAGATAAATTTGTTTTAAAATAGTAACCTTTGTAAAAGTGCGGCATTGCTATGCAAGTAAATGTTTAGTTAGCTACTCTGATTGATATATGAAATGAAAGCCTTACTTGCATAGTGATGCTAGCATTTTTTTACATAGTGGTGCTGGCATTTTTTTGCAGATTGCTTTCTTCAAATTAAAAATTTACCTTCAGAAAAATGTGAGTATTATTATGCTAAAAAACCCTGGGAAGGTTTCCATCTTATTGAAATTGGCTATTTTTTTTGAGTAAAAGTTCACACTGTTATGAAGGCATTCCATATAAGAAAAATATAATTTCTTTCATAATCATGAATGCAAGTTTTGTAATTATTGTTTGAAATCTGTTAAGTATAATGCGAGTAATTACCCGTGGAAAATTTTCTAAAAATTGTTTATTAAATTATTTTGTTATGAAAATTTTTTACTATGAAAATGATGGACACCTTGTAAAGCTTTATGACTTTTCAAACAAATCTTTGTATTATATACAACCTAATATGTATATGTATTATTGCAGTTTGTCAAAATATGTATATTTTATTATTGTAGCATGGACTAGTGTTCACAAAGAGTATGAATCATCAAATGAATCTTCTGACAGTAAAGGTAATCCACAGTTTTTTTAAAGATGTATATAAGTTGAATTTGATTATTAAATATAATAAAGTTTTCTGTGTTGTATGGTATTGCAATTATAACAAATACATTCATCATCATCATTATTATTTGTTGGCCCAGCAATACCTGTGTAGATAAGATTGCTGAACATTGGTTGTTTAACTTAGATCAACAGACCTTGACCTTTCCCCCCCCACACATGCAACATGAGGCAGTTCCCTATGTACTCTGTGAAGATAGTTTTGTAAGGCACTTAAACCTTGTGTGCTTTGCTATGAGTGGACAAAAAAAAAAAAAAAAAAAAAAAAAAAAAAAAGCAAGCAAACCCTATTATCTTAATAAATAATATATTATTTCAGTATAAAAAGATATAATTTTAGAAGTAGGTGGAGAAAATATTTATTTATTTATTGAAGAATTATGATAAATAATTGAAGGTTTGCATTTTTAAATGTCTAAATCTTGTTGAAACATGTAGGTAATTTCCTGTCCATAAATCATTTATTTATCTTACAGTTATATATTTGTTCAGCAATTAGTTTATGTAAGGTAAATGTTTATTTCATTCCTCTTTATATATATATATATATATATATATATATAGATATTGTGTGTTTTACAAATGTTGAATTGTGTGATATATGTACATGAGATTTTTCTTTCCTATTTATAGTGCCTAAAGTTGTGTATTATAAAGACAATAGTGAAGATTCACACCTGAAACGTAAGTTAAAAAATTTTTTTGATTCAATTTAAATATACTGTTCATAGAAAAATATATTAAATAATGAAAACAATGACTTGCTATTGCAGTTTGATTACTATTACTATTGAAACAAAATGTTTAATATTTATGCACATGAATAACATAGAATAACATTAAATATATGTTGCAAAATCCATAATTAATTCTGTAAAGTGTAAGGTTTAGATTGTAACTTTTTAAATAAAAATATGAATTTGCATTTTAGTGTAATCACATACATAGAAGATGCCATATTTGCAAAATGCACCAAAATGGCACTTACTGAAAAAGTTCCACCAAAACAGAAAAAACAAAAATCTACTTTTAAGTAAATTTGGTTGCTTTTCCAGATAAATACTTAATTAAAATGCAAGTATGTGTGTATGCAATAACTTTTTAAAATTTTAGTTCTCAATTTTTGTTTGGGGGGGGAGGGGTAGAAAACTTCTAAATTGCATCAAAGTTGTTGTGTTAATATGTAAATGCTGGGTAATTTTGTATTGTTCGGTTAGACTTTAGGATACCCCTTGTATTATCGCGAAATTGTTGTTTCATTTATCACCAAGTTGTTGTCTCATTTATGTCAACCTGAGTAGTTGAATGCTATGGAAACCCATTATGATGTAATTGGTCGCAGTGAATTTGAACCATGGGAAACAATTTGGAAAGTGTGTGTCGGATTTGGGGTAAGGGCGTGTGTGTAATGGATTAGTACGTTGTGATTTTGTGGTTTACACGGTAAACTGGCTGAATGTGGTAACATTTAATTGGCTGCTCCTTTGAATTTTTAAGTGAAGAGTTCAATGTGTACATGGACAAATTCAAGGGCCTAGTAAGCCTAGTTTGTGAAATTCTCTGATTTTTTTAAGTGCAAATAGGTCGATGTGTACATGGATAAAGTCAAGAGAGTGTGCAGTGCCATTTTTGTGCAATTCTGGGATATTTTTTTTTAAGTGAAAATAGGTCGATGTGTACATGGATACCAAGTTTGCGGAAAAATCGCCACTACGCAAGCCGAAATAACAAGTCAAAGAATTGCACAACCTCGTATCCATGTACTTCCAAAAATCACCAAGGGGTACACTAAAATATACTTTTACCTATTGTTCTTAAATTATAATATATTACATTCGAAATTTTTTTGCCCCATGATATTTATAGGAAATCAATTGATTAATCTGATACATTTCCCTGTATGGAGTTATCAAGATATTGTACAATGGAGAAATATTTTTTCTTTATTGATAAACAGGATGTAAAATCTCGAAGTGTGTATAAGTATTAAATAAGTATGTTAGTTGCAAATCTGTTAGGTGAATAAGACAAGGCAACCTGAGGCATTTTATTATTATTGTGATTAACCAATTTATTTCTAGACTTGCTTATTTAACCGTAATATTCTTAACCATGAAACGATAGCTCATAACAAAAAAAAAATTGAATGCAATTGAAAATATAAATGCCTTGAGAAAAAGATGAAAATTTATTTCTGCAAAATTATTATTAAAGGAAAAAATCAAGCAGTTGCCCTTAGAAGCAGCTGTAGTTACTTAAATAACATAAATATTAGTTCTCTTACTGCATTAAATATATATTCCACAAATATAGCTATAAATCATATTCATAATAAATGCAATAAAGGTTTTGGCTAATATTATTTTCTATTCTTTTCAGAATTCAAGAGATTTGATCTGGAGTCATTTTGGGGCGAGCGATTTCTTCAGAATATACAACAGTCTACATAATTAAAATTCTTAGTAGTTTGATTATAAAAGACGGAATTAGTGAGATAGTTCAAATTTGTTGTGAATTAGAAGGTAATAAAGGAGTGCTAAGAAGTTAATTGTGCATTCCACAGATCATGACTCAATGATCACAAACCATTGGAAAAGCATAGTATATTTTTTTCATATTTTATTTTAGTTGAACAAGGTTTGCATCCATTTCACATCAGTATCTATTTACATTTCATGCGGACAGACTGATTTAAAGTTACATTTCATCTATAATGATGACTCATTTTGCAGATTTTATGTTACTTTTCCCCAATTCATGAAGAGTAACTACTGTGTGGTTTTTATAAGATACAGAGTGCTGTAATGACAGCAATACCTTACATCAGAACTCTAAACAAATGAAATTTGCGTAAAAGAATAACTGTTTTCTGGCAATTATAGACAGTAAATTTGTTTTGCATTTAATAGTGTGTGTTTCAGTAAGAGTCTCAGTTTCCTTTGATGTTAAAGAGCATCTAAACAACACCGAAGAAATATGTTGTTGCGTTATTTTTTGTTGTAGAATAATGAGTAACTGTTATTTAAGGTAAAAATAAAGTACTAAATTTGAATTTGCTTACGATTTTAACCTCTTTTGTAAATTTATTATGAGAAATATATGGATATTTACAAATCATTACAAAGAAGTTTTTACTTAAATGCTGGAGTAATTGCCTTTAATTTTATCTCTGATTGTAATTCTTCAAAGTATTTTAAGGAAGTTTGATTAAAAAAAAATTAAAAATTGCAACTTGTCATTCACATTAAATTTTATTGTTCAAATAGTACAGCATAATAGAATAAAAAATTTAAAAATAAATTTGTGTATTTTTTAAAATAATTTTTTAGAAATTAATAAGGTGCACAAATTATATTTATTTCATGCATATAGAAAATTAAAGTAAAGCAATCAAAAAGGATGGACTTTCTAATACATTTAAAACATTTTCATGCATCAGTGGCATTATAAAATAAGTTTAGAAAGTGTTCATGCTTTTCATTATGCAGTTCTGTTATTAGAATTGTTAAGATATCAACTAATTATTATATTTTAAAATTCTTTATCGTCTTTGCTTACCTCTTTATGTCATATTTGTTTTTGATCTGATGGAAATTTACCATAAGAAGCAAAAATTCAATTAATAGAAATTCATTCCAAATTTACTTCTTTACATAATAATTTACACTAGGGTGAGGAATCTTTATAGATTAGAAATACCACATCTTATTTAATCAATAAAGTGAAAGGTTGCATTGTTATAAATTTTTTAAAACAGAAATAAGAAAGGCGATAGATTAAAGATATTTTTAAAGCACAACATTACTAAAGCCCTCTGTTGCATGAAGACTTAGTTAAGGAAAGCTGATGGAAAAAAAATGTCAGCAAATTCATATTGGGGCTATCTCTGTCAAGGAAAGATGTCATAGTTGAGGATATTCTAAGAGAAACTGACTTTATTAATATTATACATGAATTAAAGCATCAGAAAACCTTGAAGTCAACATTATCAGACATCAGAAATGTAGCTAAAAGCAAAGTACATATCTTTTATGGCTTTGACTAGTTTCGTGGCCTAGTGATCGTTCACTTTTCCAACTTGATTTGTTGTTAAAGCAAACAATCTATGTTTCATGCCTTTAACCACTGAATACTAGTTGGCATACTGGCTGTTCACTTCCTCCCATCTAATTTCATGCTAACGGATGGTTGTTGGTGTTTGGTGCTGGCATTGTTGTGTGAAAGAAAAATTCATAATCCAATTGGGAAATCAGTGGCTGAATGGACAGGCTGACAAGACCTCTGGACTACTAGTTTCACTTAAGTTCAGATCCAATGAGTAGATTGACTAAATGCATTTTTATCCCATCTAAATTGTATGCTAAATCAGGATTATTTGCATGTAAATAACCATAAAGCATTCTTATAATTAGTCTAGATTTATTGAATATGTAACTACTGGGTCCGAACATATTTCTGCACATGAAAATTAAGTACTTTTAAGGACTTGTTAACAAATGGGAATAGAATAAAGTAAAGCAATTATCTATGCTCGAACTTTGCTTTTGTAGTACCATTCAAAGAATAAAACAGATCTCTGTGTAGGATATATTGTTATTAAATATAATCTTCTAATATTTAATGTAATTTTAAAACAAATTCAAGAATAAAAGTTCATAAAACTTATCAAGTAATTGGTATTAAATTAAAAAATTCCTTGATTATCAGCAATGTATGTTACAAAATGTGTATATTTTACATTTATAATAATCCCACATATTCAGAGCGTTCCTATTCTTTCTAGAAGTGGCAACAAAGTAAAAGCATCCTCTACATGTAGAGACATATCTCGGAACAAGTTTCCTTTACAGAGATTTTGCCTGAGCATTTTCTATATACAGGAAGATTTTGTATCTTAAGTTGCTGTGAGCTACTAAGCTGATCAAAGCAGAGGACATGATTTGTATCGAATAGGAGACTACCATCCGTTTCACAACAAACATAATAATTTGTAAAGTTTCAATACTTTATTTTTCAATCTTAATTTTTAAAAAGAATTTGTAACAATATTATTAATAATAAACAGAAGGCTAAGTAGCAGACAGAAAGTAACAGTAATTAAAAAGGCCAATAAAGATACAAAATACAAAAATTGAATAAAAATTGCAAATTAAAAAAATAAAATTTACAAAAAGGAAAAGGAAAGCAATTAATTGTAAAATGTAATGCATATATATTATTTATTTGCATAAAAGAATAAAAAAAATCGGTTACTTCTTATGTAGCATAAAATGTAACACATATTGCTGATAATCAGGTTCATAATAAAGTATTATTTTAAGTACCTGAGAGGGAAAAAAATGCTTTGTAAGTAACATAAAAATCTAATAATTATATTTATATAATTAATATAAAATTTGTATTTAATAATTAATTGATATAAAATTTTATTTGTAATATTAAAATAATGCAAATAATAGCATTTTATGTAGAATAATAAACTAATGTAAATAATATTTTATGTAGAATAATTAATTAATGTAAAATTATTATATGTTACATGTAAAAATTTTAATTTTTATATTAACAGAACTCTGTTAATTACAGAAACAATGAAACATTCATTTTCAGTGCAAAAAATAACTCGTATTCGAACACACAATCTGCTGGTGCATGGAAAATGTAAACGCACCAAGCAATCGAGCTAGTTAGATTTAACCCAAAAATTTAAAAATCATTAACAGTGAGTAGAAAATTGGACACATAATCGAATAAAAACAGATAATAAATTAAGCTTTTCTTGTATGTGAGACTTCTTGGAACATAAGAATATAGTAATGCCCTTAAACAGGAAAAAATATTGTAGCACATTTAGTTAATTCTAAAAAATTAGGTTAAAAAAAAGCATCACTGTATAGTTAACAATGGCAAATCACTTGTATCAAGGTGAAAAAATCTTCTATTTATAAAGAAATCGGATGATCTGAAAGAAATATGGCATCACAAATTAAGTTAACAAAAACTCCAAGCAATTCACACCATATGTTATTTTTATCGTGGCTCTTCTCAGCTAAATGCAATTTCATTGGCTTTTGTCAAATATGGGTCCAGCGACAATGTAGTCGTGCAATGTTCGCAACTCTGTTGCAAGTGCCACAGGTTTATATCTCGTGCACCAGAGATATGTTTCCTTGTGTAGATAGACTGGCACAGGTGCTGCATACTTGCAGAGATATGTGTTGTCGTATAGATGGGACTTTAATGCAGCAGCTCCTCTTCAATGACACATTATATCTCAGGGCACAGTTCATTTCTAGCATATTTGTATGGCTGTTGCCACAATGACACAGATCTTTGTGCATGGAATAGCATACTACTATATATTTGACTGCCCACAGACCTTATACCACCTTAAAAAAACTACAAGCTGTCAGCTTAGACTGCTTATACTAGTAGTAATAGATCTGTGCAAAATTGACTCGGTCATTACATATTGTACCACTGCCTACTCAGCCATGGAGCTCACAGCAACAGGAGTACAGTGGCACATTTCCACTCTGTATTCAACACTGTTTCCCACATTCAACTTTGCACTTAGTTCTGTGTTGATATGTGCATTTTCAATTTGATTATCTGTTTTTCAACTGCTTATATGATTAGCTAATATGTCCTCCTTATGCGCTAGCTGCAATTAATTTTGTTCATACAACACTCTTATAATTTTGTCTTTTCCTGGTTGCTCAAAGTGATGTGTATGCTCAAATTTTCTGTAAATCTAAGTATCCTGGCATCATTAACTAGTTTTTAAGCTATATGTGGTCAGTTCAGCAGAACTCATCTCACTGTCGTAACCCTAGTATCTTCTAATGAGTTGGCATTTGGATAGCTAGTTAGAGGCCACTTAAGTGGTAACCAGTCTCACATATTTTAAAGAAGATTAGTAAAATGTAAATAAAGTGATACTTTATTTACATTTTTACTAGCAGTTAACTTTTATGTTGATTGTTTCTTATGCCTTATTTTGGCATGCACTTAGTTTAGAGGCTTAGTAAATAGTAAGCAGATTTTATATCAAACAGCATAGGTTAAAGTGAGAAGTAAAATCATAATCAGCATGGGATTCATAACAAGCTTGGATGTTGCCATCGCTGCTGCTTGCCTAAAGATTAGAGACTCGCTGAACAGAACAGAGCTGAATGCCTGATGTTGGCTTGGTTGGAAAATATTTAAAGCTAAGTTTTGCTTTGACTGTTTGACCCAGTTTGTCGTATCTTTTTATCCTTATTATTCAAGGAGGTAATTGCACCGAAATAGAAAACAAAGCGAAAAAGGTACTAGATCTTATCACTAACTGGAGCCTCAAACTCAAGCTTAAATTCAGCATCGATAAAACAAAAATGTTCACCTTTCCAAAGGCTCCCTGTATAAAAGGGCAGGGCTGAGCACTAAAAAATGAAGATATCTAGGATTTTTACTTCATAGAAAACTCACCTTGGTACCACATTTAACGATACGAGATAAAACCTGTGATCTTATTTTAATAGCTTAAATAGTATCGCCACAAATTCATGGAACCTTATAGCGAAACTTTTGAAAGAGAACTGTGCTGGCCATTGAAAGGATTATTCTTTACGACTCCCACATGTGGATGATTGGGACAATAAGGGTTCATCAGAAGCTACTTCAAATTCAATGCATCACCCTTCTCAAGATCGCTAAATGCTTCACTACCACATCCACTGCAGCTCTTAGCAGGGGTTCTCCCCTTAAATCTAAAAGCAAAAATTGAATGTGGCATTTAGTGATTACTTTGAGGATTCCTTCCAGCTCGATGACCCTTCGTTCATAGACCTTCTCCTAGAGCCACAATGCCACTCTACTTCCATCCACCCAGCTCTCATGAAAGATTTAAAATTTCTTAAACATATACCAAAAGGACAGGACTTAGAAATCTTTTCTGATGACTCCAAAGTTTCAGAGCAAGTATGTGCAGCCAATGTCATGTTCCATAGCAATACAGAAATTCACTCAGCATGGTTCAGACTAGTGACCCTGCCTCGGTTTTCCAGGCTGAATCCT